CAATATGTCCCTAATATTAATATAGTGAAAAAGCATCAAGCCATCCCAAAATTCCGTCTATAGTGGTACTTGCTCAAAAAAAAAATACATTTTGGTTTTATCATATTGCCTCGCCTGCCTAGAACAGAACATCATATGAACTTCATGTCATAAATTTACGAACTCTTCATAAAAACAAAAGCTTGACTATTTCCTAAAACCTCTTTGATCGATGAAGCAGTATGCCATCTTTCATCACCAAACTCAAGTAGTCCCTGCCTCTCAACAAGAACTCTGCACTTTGTGCCCAATTCAAAGAACCCAAGGGAGCTTTAAACCCTTTGGCATGGGGATTGCAGCTGTTCATCATGTCGAAGAGCCTGTCAATTATCTTAAAAAGCAAACGTCCTCATTAATAGAATCATAATAAACATGTTTCAATGTATGCACAAAACTGTGAACATGAGTCTGTCTGAAAGAGTGACAAGAGTTTGGGAGGTGGAGGAACTGAATGGGTTTGAATATAACCAGCGTCATGATGCTCACAGCTGTTTGAGTTATAGCTAGAAATTAATACTCACAACATTGAACTGTTGAACAGAAGAGTCCACTGAATACTCCATCGTCAGGCTCTGTGGAGCCTTCATTGATGTTTGAGATGGCCTGGTAACCACAGGCTAAAGTGAAGGATCAAATATTGAGATGATATCTCAGTGTAATACAAAATACAGCCTTCATATTCCTTCACATTCAGACAGGAAAAAACATTTTCAGCATGTGTGGCACTGACTTCTCTAATCCTTACAGCCTAGTACACCTTACCTTTTGGAGATGAGCTGGGAAACAGAAGACAGAAGGAATAACTCCATTTCTGATCCTAACTGTCTGACCTGTCCTGTCGAAGTCCTCCTGTCTGAAATGCTCACTGCAGAGCACAGTTCACGAGCTACTGTAGCAGAAAACCTTTCCCTTCTGAGAGCTGTTTCCCATTGCTTTCACAGCCCTTTATCTTTGGGAAACCTACACAGTATGAAAACACGTGGATAAGTAAGATAACTAACACTAATCAGAGTAATTACAGGACGGGAGACATAGCTAAAAAAGACTGCCTTGCTTGTTTGGACGCTGGATTCACCGCGGGACTTCACAGTATTATCCACAAAGTAAGCACATTCCGTTCTCAAAATAATGTTATAATGACCAAATACAATAAAATAAATAGTTAAGCCTTACTTGTGAAAGCTAATCCCATGGGCTCTGGTTTCTGCTGTCGAACGTTTAGAACAACCCCAAGCAGTACATGATTTAGGCATCTTACTTTTTGCCACTTCCAATATGGCGCCTACGGTGACGTCTGATTCAAGGCTCAACGCGGCGTCTATGTATATTATGTCTATGAGTGCAATGGTCATTTGACGCCAGTAGAGGGACACAGCACTGCATCGCCGCCACGCCTCCTCCTTCTTCTAACAGATTTCCGGCAGGCTGTTTACACCGCGAGATGCAATGCTGCCCTCCACAGGAGAGGGGGAAAGTAGCAAAATTCAGTTTCCGCTTCCAGACAGAGTTAACATCTTCATCAAATTTCTTTCACAGGCCAGCGAAGCACAAATACTTGAAGAATGCAACCGTAAGAAGTTAGAACTTATTTTATGGCAAAAAAGACTTGAAAGAAAAATGTAAAAGTCCTATATCTGTTAACTCTCTGAATATCTGCTGTCTTTCTCTTCTGTTAATATTATTTTAAAAATATGACACGCTGAACTGTCTTTATACTACAACCCTGACAAAGACCAACTGGACGTTAACCTGAGATTTTCAAACAGCTGGCTAAACCACAGTGTCCAAGTCCCAGCCTGGGTACAAGCACTTTATCCTTCCTGTAAGAGCACCCATGAGTTTTTTTTTCCATTTTAATAGATGTTTTAATAGCAAAATAGTGTCTACTTCTTCTACCACTTTTTCTGCCAGAGAGAGCCTACTGTTTTCTTCAGTCTGGTTTTCCGAGCATTCAGAACAATAGTTTGACTTGAAAGAGATTATTTTATAATTCTGTCAGCAATTTCATTTTCCTCAACCCCTCTGTGCCCTGGTACCCACCAGTAACCTACATGGTCATGGTGGGGCCCAGCTGTCCCATCTCTCAGAGCCAGTGAGCCAGCCACAGAACCAGAGCAGCTAACACTTTGGGGGGCATGGGGTTAATAAGTTCAGTCCACCACAGAGCCCATAAAACTGCCATTAGTTCAGCAGAGAAAACATACAAATGATCTGATATACAAATGTCATTCTGGATCCAAACATAAGCCGCATGTGTCCCAAACACAGTCTTCAGAGAAACGGGGTCCTTACGTGACAAGCTGCGCAAATTCTGCCTGAATCTGATTTACATAGTTGAACAGATAACTGCCTGGAAGGTGTTTTGCATGTAACTTCTCAAACAACCAAGAAAGAACAGGAGGCCATACATACCTAATCATACTATCTCATTAATACAAAGGGCTTTAAAAAAATCTGTCATTTAGTAAAAAGATATTATTGAATTTCCAGTTATTTTCGATTGTTGTGGTTGCTCAGCTATTAATAGAGACTGAGTAATCAGTGGTGCTACTGAAATCTCATATTTTAAAATCTTACATATTACCCACGATATAAGCCGATAATCTAATCTTGAACATTGATTTGTCCCTGATGAGTTGACCCATGTGCATTTTAGGGATGTAGGATTTGACATCCTCAAATATGTTATGCAGTTCAAGGCTAATTCATACTGAGTCTTTGTAGTGTTCTCTTCTGCAGTGGTGGGCAGTGCCCAATGCCTGAGCTCATTTGCATATATTAGAATAGTAGTAGATATTGAATTCACAGACCAATCATGTTTTCAAGCGCTTTTCAGATGTTTATGGCACTTTTGTGGATATACTGTTAAGGCATGTATTTTTCATAGCAGAGTATTTAACGATGACTCTTCAGCCTCCTGAATTACATGACTTATCTTATATGCCAAGAAAATGGTCAGGGTCACAAAAGGCAAAAATGGGGTCAAGGTTTTGCACTTCACAGGGGAACCAGACAAGGAAGCCCATGCTCTCTTTATTTATTTGCCACTTTCATTGAACCACTTGTAACAGCAACACAACTACTGTATACACCAAAGGAATATGTGACCAATTCACAATACAGAATTGTTCTTTATGCAGATGATTTTCATTATATTTACAGGGACCCTACAAGTCACTTTAAGAAACTTTCACCATTATTAATACATTCTCCAGGAGCTCAAATTACACATTAACCTGGAATAAATCAACCAGACCACCACTCTCTGAGGACGCCTGGGTACTCTGCAGCTCAGGACTCCTCCCTCCCACTCCACATTGGCAACATTAAATATTTAGGTATCAATATTTCCCCCAGACTGTTAGAGCTTTTTATTCTCAATTATATCCCGCTGTTAAAAAAGAAAATTATTTCTAATGCTGGTCCAACCTCCCACTCTGTTTTCAATACTTCTCACAGCACCACCAGACAAATGGTTTAAATCCCTTTTTAAAACAATGTAGTTTTTTTTAAATTTAACCAAAGGAGTCCCACTGAGGTTAACAGCCTTTTTTCAAGAGCGCCCTGATTCATTAACTTCACACTTATACTGGAAAAACAAGAAACCCAAAATCTCCCTGACAACACTACAAAAGGTGGCCTAGAAGTGCCAGACTTCCTGTATTGCTTAGCATTTCAACTACAATATTTAATGAAATGGATTCAGGATAGCTACAACAACCCATAGACAGATTTAGAACTAAATCAGTGCAAAAACATTTCATTTGCAGACCTTCCTACTTAGTCAAGAAAATGACTTATTGTAAAAATATCACAGTCTCTTCAACAGCCTTGTGGAAGGTGAACAAACTCACTAAATAAATCATCACTAACATCATATAGATACTATACACCCCAGTTTGACACAACCAAAGGAATCACTCACCTTCATCACCTGTTTCAAAGTAACCAGTTCATGTCATTCAAACATTAGTCCAGAAGTACAAAGTTGGGGAGTAACTTTAAAACACAGGTGCAACAACAATGCTCCCAGTGACTAAAGAGGAAAATAATTTAGATTGCTATTCAACCCTTACTTCTGGAGGGAAAGCGTTAATAATATCTTCTCTATGACCAACAGTACAAATGTACAGCTTAAGCAGCGCAAGACCATTCACGGGACTCACATTACCCAAGGTAAGCTGTTTAAAATGGGTTTAACAGACACTGACACCTGTTCACAGTGCACCTTGGGTAATACTGATGATTACATCCATGCCATATGGGCCTGGTAACCAGCTCACCCCCTCTGGGCAGCGGTGATAGAGAAACTCCACTATCTTGTGCTGTAGAATCCTCCATCTCCATCGCTGTGTTTGCTCAGTAATATCACAGAAGTCGACCACCTACCAATTAAATATGGAATCTGACTTCTTATTTCTCTCACCATGAAAACAATCCTTATAAACTGGAAATATGAAAAAAATTACATGCTAATCGCTAGGTGAATCTTCTTACAGAATACAGAGAAAATAACCATTCACAAGAGAAATATATGTATCAACATTTCATGAAATTTGAAGCCCATTCTAGGGCAGCACAGCAGAGTGGTGGTTAGCATTGTCGCCTCACAGCAAGTAGATTCTATGTTTAAGCCCAGGCCAACCTGGTGCCTTTCTGTGTGGAGTCTGCATATTCTCCTTGTGCCTGTGTGGGTTCTTTTCAGGTACGCTGACTTCCTCCCACAGTCCAAAGGCATGCAGCTCAGGTTGACTGGTGACTCCAAGTTGCCCGTAGGAGTGAGTGTGGATGTGTGTGGTTGTCTGTCTCTAAGTGTCAGCCCTATGATAGACAGTGCTGTGGTGGGTAAAGCAGTCGTATCCTAACCAGAAGGTTGAAGGTTTGAATCTCGGTGCCTACAGTCCACATGTTGAAGTGTCCTTGGGCAAGACACTGAACTCCCCTTTTGCCCCGATGGTTAGAGCCATCGGGTTCGAATCAGGGTTGCGTCAGGAAGGGCATCTGGCATAAAACACGTGCCAAATGTCAACATGCGAGTCGTCAGTGTGACGATTTGCTGTGGCGACCCCTAAATGGGAAAAGCCAAAAGTGACTTTCTATAGGGAGATATATCATCATCATCATCACCCCCACAATTGGAGACTGGGTACCAAGCCCCAATAACAGGCCCGGATGAGCTTGATTCAAGAGCAGGTGACCTGAGATTGAAGATCATGAGCAATGGGGTACCTAAGAAGTACAACTCACTGTCCATACCTGAGGCCTTGGATACTGCCAAGCAAAGGCTCACAGCCCTGGCCACCCAGCTGAAGAGGTACACCAGAGAAGTTGAAGCCAGAATTGTCTATTCTGTTACATTTTGTCATTTATTTTTTGTCTTTTTGTGTTTGTTGCCTATTTATTTTTACATAAAATTATTTGGGGCTGGTGGCAATAGCATTGACTTTGTAGTAAATATAATAATAATTATTATTATTATAACTATTATTGTTTTTACTAACAAGATGATAAAAATTCTTTTTTTCCACTACTTCAACTCTGTGTATTCACTGTGTATCACACTGTCTACCACAACCAACAATGCTAACAAATTATTATAATTTAGAGAATGACAATACAGTGTAGAAATTAATGTATGAGTATTACTAGCTCTGATTTTTCCTTAACATGGATATGTTTATAATCATTACATTTATTGTCTTTTCCCCCACCTGTTATCCACCACCAACTTGATCCATCCATCCATCCATCCATTTTCCTCCACTTATCCGGAACCGGGTCGCGGGGGCAGCAGTCTAAGCAAAGATGCCCAGACTTCCCTCTCTCCAGACACTTCCTCCAGCTCGAGGTGACATTCCATGTCCCCAGGGCTAGTCTCTGTGTCCAGAGAATGGGTCGTTGGGGCCCCTACCTTCGACTGCTGCTCGATCCACTGTGCACCAGCCCCTTATGGATCCTCCTGCAGGTGGTGGGCCCACGGGAGGACGTCCCCACGTCGCTCATTTGGGCTAAGCCCAGCCGGGCCCCGTGAGGGGTGGCCCGGCCACCAGGCGCTTGCATTCGACCTCCAACCCCGGGCCTGGCTCCAGGTTGGGGCCCCGGCTGTGCCATACCGGGCGACGTCACAGTCCTTGATGGAATTCTATTCATAAAGGGCTTTTTGAACTGCTCTTAGTCTGACCCGTCACCTAGGACCTGTTTGCCTTGGGAGACCCTACCAGGGACATATAGCCCCTGACAACATAGCTCCTAGGATCACTTGGGTACTCAAACCCCTCCACCACAATAAGGTGGTGGTTCAAGGAGG